TGTTAAATGAAAGAAAAACTAAAAAAAAGTGTGTGAGACTGAGCAGGATTTTTTTTAAGACTGACATCCCACAACTGGCAAAGAATTTTAAGGTTTCTAAAGAGGAGTTGTTTATGCCTGTGCTTTCCCAAATATCACAATGTGCCTGAAGTTTTCTTAAAATCTTTTGTTGGCTTACAACAGAACTTCCATCATTATTGTGTTTTTCATTAACAGTCACTGTATTAATTAGCATTTTCTCCATTACTTTGTTATAGATGTCTGCTGCATGTTAGGGCAAAACCAGCTGACCATGGAGAAAAGTAACCGATTTTCCATGTGACCTCTGACCTTTTCATCAATTTCTCTTCCTCTCTTTCTCAGGCCTCCTCAGCATTTCAGACTGGTGATGGATGTACTGATAATGATAAAGACTTGACCTTATCAATCTCCCTTCCAGCCTGGAAACTTAACGCCTTCTCACGTTGACCACAACTCCTCTTTCTCTCTTTTCTATGACCAGGAATGTCGATTCATTCGCATGATGACCATAATGCACTGTATTTTACAGTAGGATGGATGGAAATACATTCCACTGACAGGTGGAGTGATCGCAGAGCTGTCTATGCACTTTGTCCTCTGTCGTACCAGAGGGTAGAATAGCCATAATAAAGTCCGAGTAATTCTCAGTGATTCCCCCTTTTTTCATACACCAGCGAGAAACTTAACTGTGTTTGTCTTTGTGTAGCGACTGTGCCTGGCATGCTTCACATCTATAGATTGAAAAAAGAAACCTTATTCTAGGATAGGACTCAGTCAAGGATGTGCATTGTTTATCTTAAGCCATTTTAATTCTGACAAACAAACAAAAACAACTCCAAATACAGTTTTGTCAAGGATGAAGTTCGTGACTTGAATATGCCCTTTATTCTCTTAATGGGTTCCATTCAAGTTTATGTCACATCTTCACCTTTGAATCTCGTGTGTAGTTCAGTATGTGTGCTGATGAGACACAGATGTATTCTCTTGAAAAGGGCTTTGTTGTACCAACCCTGTGAACTGAAGCTTGCCTTATTTTTGATTGTTTTGTAAACCATATATAGATTGTTAAACCATTCCAAATTAACCTTCTGCATGTGAAAATATAATGACCTCAAAACATGTTCAACTGGAATCAACATTTAGAGCTAGATAGGAGTCTCAAGTTTCATTTTTGATAGGGGACCTGGGTTCAGAAAAAGGCATTTGTTACTGTATGGGCAGACAAAAAGGACAGATGGAAATGCAGTGTGAGTGTGTTGGTGTGGAGTTGTGTGAGAGCTGGAAAGCAATTCCTACACATTAATGATGTTATAAATGTATGATTTTAAATCTCAAATTCTAAATATTGTACATGTCATTCATTCCTGCAATTCTGTACATGTAATGCAACCACCTTTCTTTTTGAAGGGAGTAAATGTGTGGTACACATTGTAAATAATGTTTGCATAACACGTCATTGTTTGTCGAGGCTCATTTCAGTGATTAAATACGTTGTTTATATGTAATGAACTGGTGAACCCATTGTTGCCTGCATAAGTGTGCATTTGTGTCTGTAATGACATTGTCTTCCTTTTGTTTTGCATTTGTACAGATGTTAAAGGTATCACTGCAGTTACATTATGGTATGGAAATAAAGCACTTGTTCTGTAACATAGTAACACACTGTGATTTGATGCCGCATCTTGAATTCTATGAAAGAAAACTAGCGTTCAAATCAAATGATCAGCAACATTTCCCTATGCTTTCCCTGACATAACTGCTCATGAAATACTTAGATGCTTTAAAGGTTTAGAATGCTCATTAATTATTGAACTGTCTAGACAGTTTGATAGTTGCTTGAAGAAATAACATGTCAGTTAAGTTCAGTACACAAACATCTTTGTGGCATTCTGTCAAAATGCCAAATCCCTACAGAAACACTGCCACACATAAATCAAATTTTAGCCATATCAATGAAATTAACAAGCATTGTGTATTGCTGCAACATGCAGCATTTTGGGAGATATTTAATCATTTTATAATTTTCAAGACTTAAGTTCAGATGAGCAGACATCCAGGAGTATCACCTTTTTTTTTTTATTACACTCAAAGACCACAACAATTTGGCACAGTACGTTTGGGTTCCTAGATCTTTAATGTAATTTTGCTGTAGCGCAGTGACCCCTGGTGTACAATTTGTCAAGTAATCAAACAAGTACTGATGTGTGTGTAAAACTTGCTACAGAAACAAACATTTGAGCCACTGCACAATTAAAGCTACAGTATGTGACTTTGTTCAAATGTTTTTGTAGAAATATGGTCCAAAAACGTGTCTTAACGGGGAGCGGTGCTGCCAAAGCCTCCTGTGACCCAGACTCATTAGCTTCTAAAAGGTTTTAGTGGGAATGACCTCTTTAACCAGTCACATTTTCATTTATTTCTGTTTGATCAGAACATTTTCTTGCATTCTCACTTACTGTAATTTCACAATGACAACTATCTGAAGAACTGGGCAGAGTGTGGCAGAGCGCAGCACATTGCAATAGAACATAGTGGAGCAGAGAGAGGGAGCACTGGGTGGAGCAGAGTGGATTGATTTGGAGTTTCATGCTACCTTAAGTTACATACTGTACATTTAACTGCAATCTTCTCAGGACATTATACCATTATACTCAGATTTTAAAAAATAAAATAAAAAAAACTGATATTTCAAGTTAATTTTCCTTTCTGAAAAAAATCTGCTCACAACTAAATGTCAAAGTACAAAAACATGATAATAAATCAGCTGCAAAGACAATGATTGACAATCTTTCAAATCAATCTATAACTGGCAATATGTTCTTTAAGGTGCATTACAAAACATTTTACATCCAGCCCCTCGTTGAAAGAAATCTGTCAATCATATCAAAGGATCTTGCTGGTTGGTCGTAAGGCAGAATGTGCCCACCTCCTCGGATGATGACCTGAGTGACACGTGGACAGATAACAGATTTTTAAAAAGTGCTTTTGGAAGACTTTTCACATTGTGTCAAGGCAGTTGTGAATAATGCTTCACCTGGTAAAACCTTTTCACTTGTCTTACATAACCTGCCACCTCTGTGTCCCTGGGTTGAACCTTCCAGTGGTAGCGAGGGGCTGTTCTGTACTCAGCGGCCCCAGTCCAGTTAACAGTCGGCAGGAACCGCTCGGTCAGAGAAGCAGCTACAATTACATCCAGCTGTCCACTGTAGATTAAAACCTAGACAAGGAAAAGGGTGAAAGAGGGGCAGTGCATGACTCACTTCAGGGTATGAAAGAGAAAGCTGTCATTCCTCTACCATAGGGCTGGATGATGGTGACAAAAATAAAATACGGCAATAAACCATGTTGCCATGGTGCACTGCAGACCAACTACAGTAGCCAATTCCCCATCCCTCACCCTGTAGTTGTCCATCAGCACCCCCAGCCAAGGTTTGATGCTCTTCATGACATCCTGCAGGAGGTGTTTCTCCACTTCAGAGCCGCTGTGGAACGTCAGGTTCCCCACATGGATGGCACGTCGCACCCCAGGCAGAGTTACAAATTGGGAGAAGTACCCCTGTTCTTCAGGCTCCTGTGGCATATAAAAAAAAAGAGTTTATGCGTAAAAGGTCACAAATATACCGCTATAAAAGTCAAAGATGCTACACAGTGTTTCCCAGTACCTGACATGTCAGGTAGTTGTAGTAGTTGGTGCAGCCTGTAGCATTTTGGAAGAAGGAGGGATATGGTCCCATGTCACCATTCAACAAGCGATCAAAAACCTGTAGGCAAAGATGTCAGCTACGTTTCAATCCCAGTAATTTTCTTTGGTTTTATTCACAATTTTAAAACTTGTTTCATGAAGATATGATAATGAAAATGATTTGAAACTAGTGTAATTCTAGCTAAAAGCTTATATCAACTTGTATTTTCAGACATGTAAGAGGCACGCAGCATCTCAAACCTGAAAAGCCTCCACCCACTTCTGCTCCTGGATGAGCTTAACCCCATAGTCAGTCTGTTTGACAACATACATTTTTTGCTGTTCATCTATCATGCCTGTTTGGTACAGGAACTCGCCATAACCCCCAAGCATCTGAAATAGAGAAACAGTCATATATTTTAGGTGAAAGATGAGAAGAGGCAAGTCCCACACAGCAACAAGTACAGTCTGGAGCAATTAATGAGTGAAGATGATGCAGTTTAAAGAAAATGACACAATGTCAGATACACACCATTTCTGGATCACACAGTCCATCACCAATAGCCATCCCAGAAAAGTTGATTTTCACCTTAGCAGTGGGGTTGTTTTTATGGATATAGTAAGAAATGGCTGGAACATACTTGCCTGCATAGGACTGCATGGGAACAGAGGAAAGTGTACACAGTGAGGACAATTTCATAACGAGGCAAGTTGTTTTTAATTGTTGTCAGAAGAGATTACAGCCTTGTTACTCCCTATTAAGGTAAAAAAAAAGTGTTACATTTCATTTTTGGTCTATAAAAAAAAGTCATCGTGTACTCGATAAAAATCCTCTTGTGTGATGCTACTATTTAAAATATTCAGGCAGTACTAGGTTGCAAATCGAAACCTCTTACCTCTCCAGTTGCATAGAACGCGTTGGACTGATACTCAGGAAACAGCTGGAAGAACTGTGTTAAAGCACTGTTAAGAAAAATATGGAAACAATAAAAGAGTTGGTAACCAATGCCACACCAGACCTAAAGACCCAGGTGACATAATTACCATGTCTGATTTAGATGGCAGTGTTTTACCTGTACAAATCTCTGCCAACGTCATCCTGATTCTGAGCGAAACCTCTGTCATCATCAGTGAAGCTGAAACCTGTTCCAACCTAGGAAAAAAAAACTGGTTTGAGTCAATTTTCTTGCAGATAAACATGCCTGATGATCTGAGAAACCTTGGATGAAAGATGGATTTCAAGAAATGAGTTTGTGGCTTTCTTGTTTGAGGGTATACAAGAAATACCTACTGGATTGTCAATGTACAAAACTGAATATCTAGTTGTCCAGGCATAATCCCTCAAACCCACTGCAAAGGCAGAAAAGACAAGATAAAAAGGCTAAACAGTGTGCTAGCACAAACTATACAGGTCTCAAGATTATTTGGTAAAATCTAAATTATGATTATAATGATAACATATGCTGGTCTAGGACCAGACTAAGTTCTTACCTGTCAGGTTCTTATAAACTACATATGGTCCATGCTCCACAAACAGACCAAACATAGAGGATCCACCAGGCCCACCTTGCAGCCAGAGCAGTACTGGAGCCTCCTTACAGATTGGCTGTCAGTTGTGTCAAGGAGGAGAGAAAAGTAAGATCTCAGCACCACCTTGTGGTGCCTACAGCTCTGTACTGACTAAACTACCTTACCTCTGGTTGTACTAAGTTTTAAAATGGACCTGAAGATTATCAGATTGTGCAGACAAATGGTAAATATCTGTCATATAGGTGACTATTAACATTGGACATTTAAACTTCATGAATTCCAGGCTGAAGTAAAGAGTTCTTTTATTTTTGGAACATTGTAAAAACAAAGTAGAGACACTAGTCACTGCTGTCGTCTGTATACTGGCTGCTATAACACAGTACTTTATCTGGCCAAACATACGAGTTAAAATAGCTTGAAAAGGAACAATCATTTGCTGTTGACTTTGCATTTCACAAAAAAGGTAAAACAAGTCGTTTCTACAAACCCGATTCCAAAAAAGTTGGGACACTGTACAAGATGTGAATAAAAACAGAATGCAATGATGTGGAAGTTTCAAATTTCAATATTTTATTCAGAATACAACATAGATGACACATCAAATGTTCAAACTGAGAAAATGCATCATTTTAAGGGAAAAATAAGGTGATTTTAAGTTTCATGGCATCAACACATCTCAAAAAAGTTGGGACAAGGCCATGTTCACTACTGTGTGGAATCCCCTCTTCTTTTTATCACAGTCTGCAAACGTCTGGGGACTGAGGAGACAAGTTGCTCAAGTTTAGGAATAGGAATGTTGTCCCATTCTTGTCTAATACAGGCTTCCAGTTGCTCAACTGTCTTAGGTCTTCTTTGTCGCATCTTCCTCTTTATAATGCGCCAAATGTTTTCTATGGGTGACAGATCTGGACTGCAGGCTGGCCATTTCAGTACCCGGATCCTTCTTCTACGCAGCCATGATGTTGTAATTGATGCAGTATGTGGTCTGGCATTGTCCTGTTGGAAGATGCAAGGTCTTCCCTGAAGGAGACGAC